TGCAGCATTTTGTATTTCAGGGCTGCGAATTATCACGCCAGCTGTGCGGTGCTGAGCAAACCACTTGTACACAGCCTCATCCAACTGCACATGCGTCTAAGTTCTCAGTTTTTCTACCACAACCTCTGCTAGTGCTTGCACCTTCACTTTCACAGGTTGAAATGAATTTCATATGTTTCTCTTTTTGTTTCCTTATATCAGAAACAGTACTAGTGCCTATATTAAATTCCTTGGCAACACTTGAGGTTGACCGGCCATGTTCACAAAGTTGTATAACACGTAGCTTGTCCTTAAGTGTTAGGACAACCTTCTTCCTCTTAACACCTCCAGAACGATTCATGCTGCTACCAGACATAGTCTTAGCCAAAAATGTTCAAAGTTACTATGAAAATAAAAAAGTTATTTAAAAAAATATTTCACTAATAGTGCGGCACTGTGGTATAACACGAGGGTAGAGAGCACATTGCTTGACCAGGCCGGGATGGGTCAAGTAGGGGCAGGGAGGAGGCACGTTACGTAAGCCGCCAGGAGGGGAAAAAAAAAAAAAATGATGGAAACTTCAGCCTGTGTAAGTTGTTTTTGCGAAACTTGTATAGTATTTTCTATTACATAATTACTAGTATTTCTTTTGATTTTGGCTATGATGAACTGTTCTAAAATCGATGGTAATTCCTGTACTGTAGTGTATAGGTCGCTCCACATCCCCCCTTATACCCCCAGGTGGTCCCTCCCAACGCTCCTCTCTCTCCCGACACCACCCACACACCCCACCCCCACCTACACCATGCGCCTCGATTCACGGGCAGACGGGATTAATACCGTACGGCCTGCCTCATGGTTTCATATACGGACAAAGCCATTATTATCCGGGCGACTGTCCGGATAGTGTAACATTGGCAAAAAATTAACCGGGTCCCCAAAATTTTATCCGACCAAACTAGCTTTAATCCGGTCCCTGTGGCTATTTTGGCCGGATATTGTGATAACTTTATCCGATCACGATTTTGGCCATATTAGGGCGTTTTCCGGATGTTTGAATCCCGGATAATCGCGGGGTTACAGTACTGTACTTTGTTTAGTGGATTTTGGCTGGGAGATTTTTCAGGCAGGTCTATTATGCATGGACATATTGGATTTGTTTTGAGCAGTACTGGTTGTTGCAGTGTTGTTGCCTCTTGTAATTGTAGCCCTGATTTGGAGTGTAATTGTACCTGTGACTCTGGTATGTAAATACATAGCTATTTCAGCCAGTTCCAATTCCTCTCTTCCAACTTCTGAAACCTCTTTCTTCTGGGTCTAAAAAATTATTTGATTTTACTCCAAAGCTATTTTCCTGTTAACACTCTTGTGTAATGTTTTGTCTCTCATGAGTGTGTCTGGGCATCTGAGATCATAGCATTTTCTCTACTCAAGTGAGGTTTTGCACATGTCTGGATGGAAATGCAGTACTTGTGTGTTGCCCAATTTGACATTTTCCCTTCCTAAGGATATTTGGACATTTTCTGGGATGAGGGACGCCTCATTCTAATTCCCTTTCTGTTTTCTGAATGTCTGTTTTTCTGGTCTGTATCACGGTCTGTTGTAGTGTGTGTACCTGTTGAGCTCTCAGTGCTCTGTTACACTTCCTTGTCTCCTGTTATCTTTATCTGGGCGTACTGAAACAGAATTTACAATTTCCTGAATTTCTCCTTCAGTTACATCCCTTCTGACAGCTTCAGCTCGTGCACTAATATTGTTTGTTTCTCACTCTTCCTAGATGGCTGCTAGGCTTTCAGTTAAGGACACTTTTTGGTCATGACCCATAGTATGTAGTTGTTTTCAATATATTCCAAACTGGTATATCATTGTTGCATACCTTGTGGTAATTCCCTGGATCAATGTACCTGCAGCCCAAAGTAAATGTCCAGCTATGAGGCCCTAGATACTGTTCATGTCTATACAAAATAAATGGATATATTCTTACATGTATGTAACAAATTCCCGTTGTTTCGGTCTTTACTGTATTTATTGCAGTGACAAGTTCATTTGTTTTTGGCTGTATTATTTTTCTTTGCTGTTTGTCTTGTATGCTTGATGGGGGGGGGGAGCTACTTCACAGTTGCGAAGTGTAATTACTTAAGTGTAGTTACAGGATGAGAGCTACACTCATGGTGTCCCATCTTCCCAGCACTCTGTCATATAACGCTTTGAAATTACTGAGTTTTGGCCTCCACCACCTTCTCACCTAACTTGTAAAAACCGATTACAACTCTGTGAAAGAAAATTTTCTTGCTTCTTCAGCAGCTTTGTTTAGTTAGTTTAAATTTGTGACCTCTTTTTCTTGAAATTGATAAGAAAGTATTTCACCATCCATGTATTTTAAAAGCAATTCTGAAATTAGAAATTGTAGCATAGGCTCCTCGTACAATGTTCTTTGTGTTCCTCGGGTAATTTTTTCTCTATCTTGAACCACCCCTAGATCTCCTTTATCAGAATTCTTTAAAGATTTCTCAATTTATAGGTGGTGTGGGGTCTCTGTTCTCCTATTCCACATTCCACAACATAGCATTTATTAACATTAAATTCCATTTGCCAAGTGGTGCCCCATACACTTATTTTGTCCAGGTCTTCTTGAAGGGCATGACAATCATCTAAGTTTCTCATCTTCCCTATTATCTTAGCATCATCAGCAAAAATGTTCATATAATTCTGTATTCCATCTAGTAGATCATTTATGTAGACAATGAACATCACCGGTGCAAGAACTGAACCCTGTGGTACTCCACTCGTGATATTTCTCCAGTCAGATACATTGCCTCTGATTACTGCCCTCATTTTTGGCAGAAAATTTTTCATCCATGTTAAAAGCCTACCTGTCACTCCAATATGTTCCAGTTTCCAGAACAACCTCTATGTGGAACTCTGTCGAAAGCCTTTTTTTTAGGTTCTGATAAATGCAGTCACCCCAACCATCTCTTTCCTGTAAAATCTCTGTGGCTCGATCATAGAAACTGAGTAAATTCGTTACATAGGCTCTTCCAGACCAAAAACCATACTGTCTATTATTATATTTTTTTATCCAGGTGTTCTACCATTTAGTTTTAATTATGTTTCCAATATTTTGATTTACACTTGTCAATGATACAGGTCTATAATTGAGCGGGGGGGGGGGAAGGGGTCTTCCCTGCTGCAACTTTTGTAGACTGGAACTATATTAGCCTTTTTCCGCATATCTGCTAGGACTCCTGTACAGAGGAATGCCTGAAAAATCAGTTGAAGTGGAATGCTGAGCTCAGGTGCACATTCTCTCATAACCCATGGTGAAACTCCATCTGGACCAACTGCTTTGTTCTTACAAATGCTCCTTTAGCATTTTTTCTACTTCATCTTTAGACACCTCTATGTGCTCTGTTGTTCCCTGGAATTTTTATTGGCTGGTTCTTCGAAGATTTAATTTTGCACAAACCCACTTTGTAACTTTTCATTTAATGTTTCCACACATTACCTTTTAATTTTCTGTGAATCTGTTTCCCATTTTCAACCTCTGGATATTACCCTTTACCTGCAAGTTGCTGTTGATGAATTTATAGAATAGGCCTGGTTCTGTTTTACATTTGTCCACTATCCTTTTCTCAATTTCTTTCTGCCTCCCTCCTTACTGCTATGTAGTTGTTTCTCACTTTTGTATCCCTGGTATGTTTGGGGGTTTGACCTCTTCCTATATTGATTCCATTTTTGAGTCTTTTGGTCTCTGGCCCTCTCGCAATTTCTGTTGAAGCAAGCCTGTTTCCTAGTTCTGCATCTCTGATTTTGTAAAAAAAAAATTTGTGCCTTTATCATATATTTAACAAAACTGGACATACATCTCATTTACTTCCTTGCCTAACAGCAAGTCTTCAACTTCATTTTCTTCCAGATTATAATGCATTGCATACTTTATTCCCAAAGGACATGGTCACCTTTACCTAAGGAAGGAAGGTACTGAATGTCAAATATCTTTTCCTCTTTCCTGGTGAATATAAAATCTAACATGGAGAGAACATCCTCTTCCCTCATCCTCGTAGTTTGTTTAATGTGTTGATACACAAACGTTTCCAGGATGAGGTTTACGAATCTACAGGACCAAAAGTCCTCTGTTCTAGCCCAGTTAAGCCCTATGTGTATGGATTTCAAGTTGTAGTCACCGACTACCAAGTCGTGATTTTTCTTTATCCGCTCTCATTATAATATCTCATTATTGTTGTAAGACCCTTTCATTTATTATCCAGCTCCTCCTCTGTCCATGAAGAGATACTGCTTTTTGTGGGCTGAACCTGCTTACCGTGGGGCCGCAGAGGATGCTCCCACACCTGGACTACTACTGTGGCTCCTAAAAGTGTACAAGGGTTTTGTGTATGACAAGCTCTTGTATTACATTACTTGCTATATAATGTTGCACTTGTATAGTATTAGCAATCACTATGCAAGACCAATTTGTCTGTCCTTATTATCTCAAACACTACATAGCTGCATGTTTCAATATAGATGTGGTGGTTTGTCATACATTCGTGGCTTGTCATTCAGTCATGGTTGTAGCTTGTCATCCTGTATTACATGTTGTTCAAGTACTCGGATATTTCGTGTATGTGATATCATACTATATTTGTGTATTGTAACAAACATTTCTGGGGTAAAGAGCTAAGTTTCCTAAAAAGATGTAGGAAACAGGTCATCAAAGGTAAAAATATATATTATTAATTATTAATTGAATTTATCTGATAATAACTACAGTTTGTTCTATATTTTTATTTATGCACAAAATTGAGCATGATTAAGTAAAAACTGCATTTTTTTCATGAAAGTAAAGATTCACAAAGAATAATTTATATTCCTAAGAAGTGTTCTTCTGTATTCACATTTCCATGTCTTCTTACAGTACTAAGAATATTTTCCCATTTTACTTTTTCCATTGTATTTTGAGATAAGATATTATGTGAGAAATAGCTGCTCGTGAAGAATCATTACATGTTTTTCATTTGCAGGTGAAAGCGAGGATGGGCAGCGCTTGAGGTTACAGATAGAACTGGAGTTTGTCCAGTGTCTGGCTAACCCCAACTACCTTCTCTGTAAGTGGCTTCACTTTACACATTATATTTGCATGTTTTATTATCGTACTGTTATAAGTGGTGTGTGTGTGTTTCATGTTTAACCCTTCCACTGTGTGTGTGTGTGTGTGTAATTACCTAAGTGTAGTTACAGGATGAGAGCTACGCTCGTGGTGTCCCGTCTTCCCAGCACTCTTTGTCATATAACGCTTTGAAACTACTGACGGTCTTGGCCTCCACCACCTTCTCCCCTAACTTGTTCCAACCGTCTACCACTCTATTTGCGAAGGTGAATTTTCTTATATTTCTTCGGCATCTGTGTTTAGCTAGTTTAAATCTATGACCTCTTGTTCTTGAAGTTCCAGGTCTCAGGAAGTCCTCCCTGTCGATTTTATCAATTCCTGTTAATATTTTGTACGTAGTGATCATATCACCTCTTTTTCTTCTGTCTTCTAGTTTTGGCATATTTAATGCCTCTAACCTTTCCTCATAGCTCTTGCCCTTCAGTTCTGGGAGCCACTTAGTAGCATGTCTTTGCACCTTTTCCAGTTTGTTGATGTGCTTCTTGAGATATGGGCACCACACAACCGTTCCATATTCTAACTTTGGCCTAACAAAAGTCATGAACAATTTCTTTAGTATATCGCCATCCATGTATTTAAATGCAATTCTGAAGTTAGAAAGCATAGCATAGGCTCCTTGCACAATATTCTTTATGTGGTTCTCAGGTGATAGTTTTCTATCTAGAACCACCCCTAGATCTCTTTCTTTGTCAGAATTCTTTAAAGGTTTCTCACATAATTTATAGGTTGTGTGGGGTCTATGTTCTATTTCACATTCCATAACATGGCATTTATTCACATTAAATTCCATTTGCCAAGTGGTACTCCATATACTTATTTGTCCAGGTCTTCTTGAAGAGCAAAACAATCATCTAAGTTTCTTATCCTTCCTATGGATAGGAAGGATAAGAACCATTTGCCAATCTTAGCATCATCAGCAAACATGTTCATATAATTCTGTATTCCATCTGGTAGATCATTTATGTAGACAATGAACATCACTGGTGCAAGAACTGAACCCTGTGGTACTCCACGCGTCACATTTTCCAGTCAGATACATTTTGCAAAATTTTGTATACATCTCATTTACTTCCTTGCCTAGCAACAAATCTGTCCAATTATACCCATGAAAAAATGTCTAAGTTCCCCATAGCGTCCTCTCTTGAAATCGAGTTTAACAACTGTTTCAATGTCCCCATTCTCTACTAGATTATATCGCATAGCGTATTTAATGTCCAAGAGGACGTGATCACTCTTTCCCAAGGGAGGAAGGTACTGGATGTCAAATACCTCTTGTTCTTTCCTGGTGAATACTAAATCCAGTACTGACGGTACATTCCCTTCCCTCATTCTTGTGGCCTGCTTGATGTGTTGATACATGAATGTCTCCAAGATGAGGTTTACATATCTGCTTGTCCATATGTCCTCTGTTCTTGCCTCATAGGCCTCCCAGTCTGTTGCCTTAAAGTTGAAGTCCCCCAGTACCAACAATTGGGATTTATCTTTGTCAGGTCTTATTATAATCTCTCTCATGACCATTATGAGGCCCTCTCGTTTGTCATCCAGTTCTTCCTTTGTCCATGTGTTGCTTGCTGGTGGGCTGTAGGCATTTAAAATTATGAGCATATCATCTTGATTCCAGACATGCAATGCCATTATGTCAATATCTCGAGGGTTTTCAAATATTAACTCTTACCTTCAGGTGTTCTTTCACCAACACAGCCACTCCTCCTCCTTTCCCAGTTTTCCGGTCACGTCTCCAAACCGAGTAGCCCCTTGGGAATACGACCTCATTTAAAATATTTTCTTCAAGTTTCGTCTCTGTTAATGCGACAATATCTGGGACTTTGAGCTGAATTATATCCTTCAGCTCCAATATTTTTGATCTCACTCCATCTATGTTGGTGTATACTATTTTCAGGAACATGTTCCCCTTTCCCTTTGTTCTTTACACCCCCTTCCTTTAATGATTTTGTTGCTTTGTCTTTATGTACCATTTTGCAAGCTTTCCAATCCCTGTCATTTTGTAGAATAATGAATTCCTTTCTTCTTCATTTCTATCCCCATTTAGATATTTAGCTTCAATGAGGTTCATTTTCAGCTTTTCCCTGTCCTCTTTTGAGAGGTCTTGTCATATTGACCAAAGTTTGCCATCCTCGTCACATTACAATTTTCTGGTATTCCGAAGCACTTCTGTCATATAGTAGTAGGCATCCTTCAGTCTCGGGAGACTATGGAGTTGCGCCCTAGTTGTCAATCCTGGTGCAGCGTCTGGTGTGACTGATGAGGCCAATCCGAGAGTGGCAGTCCATCCCACACCGAGCACAAACGAAGTCCGATTCTGGTCTGTCTTCCTGGTTACCGGCTTTCCTTCTCTGTCTCTTTGCCTCCGATTCCTTGGCAAGTGACTCCTCGAACTTGGAGAGACCTCGTTGAACAGACTGCCTCCAGGCTGAACGGTCTGCAGCCAGTGTCTCCCATATAGCGAGATCGACGTCCATGGCTTTCAGGTCCCTTTTGCATACGTCTTTGTACCGTAGCTGGGGCTTGCCTACTGGACGCTTTCCCTGCCTCAGCTCTCCATACAGGAGATCCTTGGGGATCCTGCCGTCGCCCATTCGCACAACGTGCCCGAGCCAGCGCATTCGTCTCTGTTTCAGCATTGTGTACATGCTGGTGATTCTTGCTCTCCCCAAGACGTTGTTGTTTGTCACCTTGTCCTGCCAGGTGATGTCCAAGATGTGTCTAAGGCAGCGCATGTGGTAGGCATTCAGCCGTCTTTCCTGACGGGCGCGGAGTGTCCAAGACTCACTGCCATAAAGGAGAGTGCTCAGGACACAGGATCTGTAAACCTGAATCTTAGTATACTCAGTTAGCCTATTGTTGGCCCACACTCTCTTTGTCAGTTTGGACATGACAATATACTGTCATATACTTCACTCCATTAAACGTCACCCTTAACGGGCGATTTTTGTCTTTCTCATATTTTCCTATCCTCCTAAAATCACTGACATGCTCCTTTGAATTTATGACTTCTCCTAATCCTACTATTTTTTCTATGATTTTCTCCTCTTCTGCTGCTCGGTCCACCCTAGATGAAATTTCTTTCTCTAAACATCCAAAAATTATTATGAACTTACTTCTGTTTACAGTGTTTTGTACCAGTTTACTGTTGGTTGCCAGTTCTTTCCTAATTGCTTGTCTAAGATCTACTTCTTGTTTGTCATTTCTGGTTTTGACTTCCGAACACACTTCCTTGATTGTCTCTCTTTTCCTTTACAACTTGTGCATGTGTCTCTTATTTCTTCTTTATACTTTTCTAGTGCTTTATTAGCCTCCTCTATTTGAATTGCCAATGAAGTTTCTTGTTGCATCTCCTTGCCCAACTCCATGCTAGCCCTCAGGGTCCCTGTTTGTGTGTGTGTGTAATTACCTAAGTGTAATTAATTAAGTGTAGTTACAGGATGAGAGCTACGCTCGTGGTGTCCCGTCTTCCCAGCACTCTTTGTCATATAATGCTTTAAAACTACTGACGGTCTTGGCCTCCACCACCTTCTCACTTAACTTGTTCCAACCGTCTACCACTATTTGCGAAGGTGAATTTTCGTATATTTCTTCGGCATCTGTGTTTAGCTAGTTTAAATCTATGACCTCTTGTTCTTGAAGTGCCAGGTCTCGGGAAATCTTCCCTGTCGATTTTATCAATTCCTGTTACTATTTTGTATGTAGTGATCATATCACCTCTTTTTCTTCTGTCTTCTAGTTTTGGCATGTTTAATGCTTCTAACCTCTCCTCGTAGCTCTTACCCTTCAGTTCTGGGAGCCACTTAGTAGCATGTCTTTGCACCTTTTCCAGTTTGTTGATGTGCTTCTTAAGATATGGGCACCACACAACAGCTGCATATTCTAGCTTTGGCCTAACAAAAGTCATGAACAATTTCTTTAGTATATCGCCATCCATGTATTTAAATGCAATTCTGAAGTTAGAAAGCATAGCATAGGCTCCTTGCACAATATTCTTTATGTGGTCCTCAGGTGATAGTTTTCTATCTAGAACCACTCCTAGATCTCTTTCTTTATCAGAATTCTTTAAAGATTTCTCACATAATATATAGTGTGTGTGTGTGTAATTACCTAAGTGTAGTTAATGATGAAAGCTATGCTCGTGGTGTCTCATCTATCCAGTACTGTTGTATAACGCTTTAAACCTACTGACGGTGTTGACCACCACCACCACCTCCCTTAGTTTGTTCCAACAGTCTACCACTCTGCAAAAGAAAATAATCTAATTTCTGGGGGGAGCCCTGTCGGCTCCCCGGAGCTTTACCAGGCTGATATGCTAATGTCAGACTTTGGCATCAGTCATGTGTATGGAGTTCTAGGGCCTACCGGGGACCACGACCAGAACCTGGCCCCCTCAGAGAGGTAAGGGGAGCAATGGCCTATAGAAGCCCCCGTGTGGTAGGAAGCATTCTATGTCTGACATCGACCGGGTCAAGCATCCAGAAAGGTAAGCATTCCAAAACAAACCCCTATTGTGGTGAAAATTGCTACCTAAAGCCGAACTAGTGGATAGAACTCAACAGAAAACAAGGAAACTAGTATGACGTCATACGTCACCGCGCCGCTGTCTGCGCAGCTCCCCCCTCCCCGGGAGGGGGAAGGGGGAGCCCCAGATTAGTATTCCTTACCACCCTGTCCACAGCTGTGATGCGTGCGCATGCGCTCTCTCTTTCTCTTTCTTACTCTTTCTCTTTCTTACTCTTTCTCTTTCTTACTCTTTCTCTTTCTTACTCTTTCTCTTTCTCGCTCTTTCTCTTTCTCGCTCTTTCTCTCTCTCTCACTTTCTCTCTCACTTTCTCTCTCTCTTTGTCTCTTTCTCTCTCTTTCTCTTTCTGTCTTTCTCTCCCTCTTTCTCTCTCTTTCTCTCCCTCTTTCTCTCTCTTTCTCTCCCTCTTT